AGCATCTTTATATGCACTCTCAGTATGTAAACAACACCAGGAATTAGCACATATCAGAAGTCTATCTGGTTAGCAAGGGCTCTAAATAAAGGATTTCAGCTTCTGATTGTAGAGGGAGTGATGAGAATAGTGTGAACTGTGGAAAGGGAAAGGGAGCTGTTTCCAAATATAGGGCAAAGCCATGATGCAACAGCACTCACTTTCAACACTTGCCTTTTGTACATCACTGTCACAAGGAATAGGGAGGAAAGCTGGAAATCCACCCAGAGTCAGCAGATTTTATTCTGGGGATGTATAAGTGTTATCTAGTGCCAAAGCAAGGCTCCACCAAGCTCCAGCTAAGCCAAGTTTGCCATCCCAGCATAAAGACTTGAAGCTAAGAAACACAGACTCCACAATGAGTATGCTATATACCATGCTTTGGTTTTCCTCTCCCTTGAGCTGTGTCCTTTTGCTAGATCTTTTGGGATCATCACAGAGGAGCTTTTAGATTCAATTTCAGTCATCTGGCAGATCCTCAAGAGTTTAAATTAAACTAAATTGAGTTTATAAGACCTCACCAATTTGATAGAATTTTCTTTTCCAAATAGGGAGTGAGTTTTGTGAAAACTAGAAGAAAGTTTTTAGCATATATCATAGAGTGCTCGATCTGGTCCAATGCCTACTAACTGTACTATTAATCCATTGCTATGCTATACACAGTATGACATCCACATAAAGTTCTTACCTTTTGGGAGTTTACATGTTTTCTAGCCACTTGTTTAATCATCTATAATGTGCCAAGCAACTTGCTACATGCTGATGACTTCAGCCTCTCAGTGAGAGCAACAACAGAAAAGTAACTGAAATACAACCTTTATCTATTGCAGAGAGATCATGAGCTTCATATAGACACAAAGATCAGCATTCTACAGAATGGAAAAGGCATTTAGTTAGTTGATTGACAAATGGTATTTGAATATCAACCCAGATCCAGGTACTGAGCTTTTAAAGTTCACATCTGAAGGGAAGAATTATCCAGATGAAAAAGATATGGGATAGAGAATAAAATGTTGAAGGAAGAAGAAATAACTTGTAAGAGTACCTGAATGTAAGTTCAAAAACTAGCGATAGAGTTAGGAGTTTTAACAGTGAAGCTGGGAAGGAGAAAAGAGGTAAATTGCAGAGAGATTTGAGGGTACACCATAGATAGAGCTCAGACTCCATTCTGATAACAATAAAATCTTACAATAATTCTAAGCCAGCAATGACCTAAAGGTATTTGAGTAAGAAAGTGATTGAAACTTCCTTATTATCGGGGTTGGGCAGAGAGAAGTGTAACTGCAGCATTCACTTCTGTTTAGAAGTTTTCGCAAATGTCCAAGTAGCATACAGTGACAATCATTATCAAGGACAAAATCTCTGCTAAAACGATTTATGTAGAGATACTGAAGGAGCATAAATCCCAGGACTTGGTGGAATATGGAGTGATGACTAGTTAAGTGGAACACGAAAGAGAGGAACCATTCTTGTTTAACTGAGATGAAGGAGGTCCAAGTTGACCAAGATAATACTTCCTGGAGACAAAATACTCAGAAAGGGGTGTGAGCAAGAAAGGAAAGCTCAGAAGTTTGGTTTGAAAATTTCAAACTTATGTCGACAAGGCATTTTTATAAATACATCTGAGGTCAGAGGGAGAGACCTGTGATGAGGGTATAGGTGCAGGGCTTCTCAACACATTCATCACATATTTTTACCTGTTGATAATAGGAGGAGGGGCTTCTGGGTATCACCACCCCATAGGACATAGAGAACCCAAATCTCCGGAAAAGTTTTCATATTTTCAAGGTAATTATTGCATTTGAGGGTTGATAAGGACAATGATGTAAATTGATCTTAAGTCTATAATTCAAGAAAATTTAGGCCCACAGAAGAAAATGAGGGGAAAAATCTAGACATAGATGTCCAAGGCTGATAATGTTAAGTTAGAACCCAAAGCAGCTGCCTGTACAGAGCCAGCGGAGTCCTGAAAAGTGAGCTTAGCATCCAGTAGAGACAGCCAGCAAGTAAAACAAGTGGTTCACAGTTAACACATTTGAAGAAATCAAGACAAGTGAGAATAGCCATTGGATTTCCAGCAAGGGAAATGTGGATGATTCTAACAGAGAAGCTAGCTCCTTGGAAGGAGTGAGCAAGAAGTGAGTTAATAAAGATACAAGTAAATGAAAGTCAAATAGAGTGAAGGAGTGTCCTGGCTAGGTTTTTGTTTTGTTTGGTTTGTCAACTTGAAACAAGCTAGAGTTATCGGGAAAGAGGGAATCCAAACTGAGAAAATGCCTCCATGACATTGGCTGGTGGGCAAGTCTGTGGGGTATTTTCTTGAGTAATGATTGATATGGGAGGATCTAGCTCACAGTCAGTGGTGCCACTCCTGAGCCTGTGGTACTAGAGTATATAAAAAAGCAAGCTGAAGAAGTTAGGAGGAGCAAACCCAGTAGGCAGAGGCCCTCCACAGCTTCTGCTTCAGTTCTTACACCCAGGTTTCTTCCCTGCTTAAATTCCTGCTTGGGTTCCCTGGATAACAGACTATAAGCTGTAAAATGAAATAAGCCCTTTTTTCCCCAAGTTGTGTTCAGTCATGGTGTTTTATTCCAGCACCAGAAGCTCAGAATTAAGACAAGGAAGTAGCTGAAGAAGGCCAGGTATAAGACAGACACTACCCTATCCAGAGGAAAAGAAGGATCATTTATTCAATTAATAATTTTTTAAAACTACAAAACCTTAAGTAATAAGTACCAAACCAACACACAGAAGTAACTCAATTAACCAGAAAAGTAATACTAGAGATGTCTATGAGTTTTGGTTAAGGGTTATGTACTGAATTGAACCTTCAATAGCAAGCAAGCTTTTAGAGAAGTGAGAATTAAGTCTTTTACTGCCAGAAATCTAAGCAAAAATGGTAGCAACAATTCATCTATTCTCCTTTCACTTTCTTTTGTTATTCAAAGAATATCTTTCTCAGCTAATAGAATGTCTTTAGAATGGAAATTGCTCGGACCTCAAAGGAGAGCTCTGAGTATGCACATCTTGAAAGTTGTGAGATATATAATCCAGTTCACATGGAGTGTTTGCATTCTCAGTCTTCAAACACAAAATAAGCATATTCTTTAGGGGTCACATTGTTCATTTCCTCATTTGAAATTTTTAACACCAGATAGGATGTTAAATCAGTAGGAGCTGGTGCTTCTCTCACTCGGGTTTCAAACATCCTCCATATGTATAAACACATCCATAAATAAAGGTGCTAATGTCAGGAAAGAAGAAGATCTTTTAATAAAATACACTAGCATGCGTAACTGCCAGCATATCGAAGATTGTTCTAAGGCCTAGTTCACAATTAAATGCTGTTTAAATGAATTACTTTTCTCCTTCCTTTTAGGCAGATGGTGAAAACACAAATCTCTAAAGATGCTATTTATATATTTAAGTTTTATTTCTATTATTTTAATGTGACCATTACATCTTTTCATAAATAATGAGTACACAGGGTGAGAAGAATAACTAGAAGTATTATTTTTTTATAGGAGAGTCATTAGGAAGCTGAGGCCTGGGTTTCCCAGAGATATTTGACTGAATGGCCATTGCTTCAGGAACTACACCTTTTTAGAAGAGAGCCAAGGATCTCTAGGTCACAGTTATACCCATTTATTTTCTTCCTTGTCATAAATATGAGTCCATTTGCATCAAAATAGAATAGCCATTACCATGCAGATATCGTAGAAATAACAATGGTTAAATAATTCCATTTCCAACCTATGAAAATGTATTCTGTTACTTTTTTCTGGTTTATGACCTCTTCCTCCAAAAAAAATACACAGAACACCACCAGAGTATTTGTCTTTATGAAACTTGGGTTTGATTATTCTTACCTAGTTCACAGAAGATTCTTATTTTAACACACCTACATGCAGGTGACATTTCAGATTCTGAAGTCTGACGTATTTTGTTATTTTATCCCAGGCCCTTTCTGTGCGGGCATATATCTCTATTCATGGTCATTCTGCTCTGTGTGGGTACAATCCTATTCATTGTCATTTTGTCACTGTAGGTTTTACCTTCCCAGAGAATGTGACCTGAAAAGGATGTGAGGCACTTTATTATCTACTGCCTTGACAAATAGCAAGTTAGATTTCTCAATTTCAGCCAAAGACTTTGAATCTAGGAATGGGTTGGGGAAATCATGTGTTCCATTGTTGCCTCTAATAAGTCACAGCGCTAATGTCACAGTTAGTGGCCTCAAATCACTGTCACATACATACACATTTGTTTGTTTTGTTTTTTCTAGGCTTCTAAGCAACTCTTGCTAGAATCAGTTGGCCTGTTTCTGAGGAAGCTTGTGATTGCCCTATGTCGGGAATGGAAAGTATAAAGATTGCTGTCTACCTCCCCTAGGGTAGGGGAGGGGTTGTAGACTTGACACAAAAGTTCCTTTGGTTATTTAGTTCCTAGTAAGAAATCCTGATCATAAGCTGCTGAGTCCTTAGAAAAAGACTGAGTAGCAAATTGTTTTAATGGTTGTAAAGTTTTTTCCAATAAATGAGAATTGTCACAATGATATGAAAAAGACATCTTTCTTTAAAGCCAGAGAAACTGGCAAAGTTGTCAGACTGTAGATATCACAGATGAGCGATCCACTGAAGACAATGTTTTGGATGGCTTTGGAAGAAAGTCTTTAGGAGCACAGTGCTTCAAGGAGAACTTCAGACCCCCATAGAATAGACTAGTATTAGGCTTCCTCAGAATGTAGCATGGAGATGACTATATCTCAACAACCCCTTCTCCAAAAGGCCTTTGTTGAAGAGATCCTTAGGACTAAGCCTGAAGGTCTCCATGTGTTTCACCACTTGTCTGTGTAGAGCACCAAAATGCTGCATTGTTTGAGAGCTACACATGACCCCTAGTAGCTAGAATTTTAAGACCAACTTGACTGACAGAGAACTCTTTGTCTCTCTTCTGCCTAGGTGCAAATGCAACCTGCATGCCACTGTGTGTGTATATGACAACAGCAAACTGACTTGTGAATGTGAGCACAACACGACAGGTCCAGACTGTGGGAAATGCAAGAAGAATTATCAGGGCCGACCTTGGAGTCCAGGCTCTTACCTCCCTATCCCCAAAGGCACTGCAAACACCTGTGAGTAACTTTGCTCCATTTCAACATGTTCTGTGCATGATGAACTGTTTCTTCCTTGGTTCCACTTACAATTGTGACTTTCCTTCTTTTCTCTTTAAAATGGAGCAGAAGATTTATTCCTGATTTTATCATTTGTATGCATGTGTTAGCACTATAATCACCTGTTAAAGTCAGTCCTCTAACCTTCCCATTAAATGTGTTGCAAAATAGTTCTTAAAAATCACAGAGGTAATTTTGTTCTAAGTAGGTGAAACAGGAGGTTGTTTTTCCCTCTCCCAAATTAATAGCCTATTAATACAGCACAGGCCATGAAAATTCTCAATACTGACGAGCCATAAACAATTTCCAGAAACTTTGGGGTATTGACAGTTCCATTTCTATTTCTCACAGTGAGTAAGGCAAAAGATGCTTTGTCCAGTGAAGTTTGGCCCCTCCAATTCTAGGGAGCCCATAATGTTGCCTAGAGAGCGAGGTGGCATTCCCCAAATGTCAGCCATTGAGACATGACTGCTTTGGATTCTTAGAGCAGGAGATGCCTTTGGATAAAAAGCAGGATTGTAAACCGCAGGGTGCCACAGGAAGAAAAGAGGCTTTTGTCTGAGAAAGAGCATAGGCAGTGTCCGTGCTCACAAGGGCCACATGATATGCCCCATTAAAACACATGTCATAACGCAGTGAAATCCCTAAATATGTAAAGCCCAAACTTGACATGCTTAAAGGAGAAAAGGTACTATTTCCTGAATATACTGCACAATTCTGTGGATGGAAAGATTAGCCACCTGGAAAAGCCTAAAGTTTGCCCTCTTTAAAAAGGAGACAAAGGGGAATATTAGCATAGAGCCACACAGCAAGAAGTCAGAAGAGCCACAGGACAATGAGAAGTTGAACAGCAGGCCATGGGCTCCTTGCAAGGCAAAGAATGTTATCTGGTACTTCAAGGCAGCAGCTGGGAGAAGCCAGAGCTGAAATGCAATATCACAAGAACCCAAGCTTTATAGAGTTACATGCCGGAGTAATGGACCAGGTAACAAGCTATGAAGTATGGGGAACAGAAAATTAGGACAAATCTCTATAAAGCAAAAAAGAGCCCTCCCAGAGATTAAAAAAGAATCCCTTTGTAAGAATGTTCAGTTTCTCTCTGTGTTAAAGGAGAAACTGATTCTTGCTACTAAAATTAATATTTTAAAGCTCTGTTAAGCAGAAATGTTGGGGGTTTTTTCCTAGATGATTTTATTAATGGGAACTCTGAGCTTTCTGTGGTCATGGAAAGCCATGGACTTATGACTTTGGAAGTGGTCTCCTGAGGTTATATATTGCAGCCTTGTATGTCTGGCTACCTGAGAACTCCTATCATCACAGTTGTCAAACTTAGTTAAGGCTTTCCCTAAGTGAAAATGGCTCAGATTTCACCTTCAGGTCCTGATGTTAAAGACATTGCTAACACCACCCTGTTCCACTCACTGTGCCTCAAATACTTGGAGTTTAATATTTTTTCTAGGAAGACCTTGATTCTGAGAAGCTCCCTCCCTGAAATGAGTTTCTCATTTTATTCTCGGGGGCATGATTTTTTTTTATCCCTTCACTGTTTGCATATTAAATACTGCCAGGTTAGTCTTGGCCAAGAGACCATTACCTCCTTTGATTTTCCCTATTTGTTCAACTATCCCCTCTCCTGTTTTTAACTGGTTTTCTATGGACTACTAGAATTCTTTCCCATGTGTGTTCAAGCAGCAAAATGGCATAGGGACCCAATGGCTAACAGTGGCTAAGGGGTCAATTTAATTTTTCAGTCATAAATAGAGCAAAACCTTGGTGAAAGACTTTAGAAATTATATGGAAAAATCTTGAAATCAACACATATTCTAACATTTCAGGCTTTAATTAAAACACCCAACAATGGCAATAAACACTTCCACAATTTGGCAACATGTTACAAGATGAAACCCACTAATTTTGCTACTAATCTGTCCTCCCCAACACCCTGTTTCCCATTGTTGGTGTGAGAATAATGGTTCTTCCTTCACAGCAATTTTAAGAAGATTAAGAAGTTAATTCACAAATATGCTGTGCATAACACCTTCACAGAATGTATAAAATAATAAAAATATATAAAATAAGATTCTTTTATATAAGATAGTATTGTCCTCTGCTGGATATTTTTTATTAATGTAACTTATTTCTTAATTTCAATGTTGGATCTTGACCCTTTATATCTTTCTAAGAGTATAAGAACTCTATTTGTCCTAGTTTTATTTATTCCATGTTCACAATCTTCTAACCCTTATCTTGTCCTCATATGAAAATTTTGCATGCCACTTACTTGATTACCTGTCTTCAAAGTCCTCTAGTTTGTTACTATGGTCCTTCCACCCAAGCTACCAAGCTCTTCTCTTCTACAAAGCTTATAGAAAAGGAATCTTTCTTGTCTCCCTAGGGATATCTATTTTCTTTTTTATAAAATTTTATTTTTAAAAGATTCTTTGAATTTCAATTTTGTCTCCAGAACCTCCTGCTTTTCATGATTCTCCTTCCATAATGCTTGTTCTCACATACATGAATATGTTAGCACATGCACAGACATTTACCCACACCCTCACATGACTTTATTCCATGCACTGTGAGTCAACTAAGAGACACTTTTAGGATGTCACATGTCCATAACAAACTTCAAGTCATTCGAATGAAAAAGAAGAGACTGAAACCTTCAACATCTACCTTAGTGGCCTGGAGATGTCATCAGTCACAAGTGATCGCTACACTTAGATTCAAAAGTAGGTAGAAGAAGGTCAGATTCTGTATACCTGCACAGATTTGAGCTAGAAAGTGGGAGATTTTCATTATAAGACCCACTTCTGGGGGCACTTACTTTACCATTTAGGAACAACTCAAACTGAGATATTGTTTCAAGTTCCTGAGCTTTGAAGTTATTGCATTTTAGAGCAACTCAAAGCCTCTTTCTCATGACACACATAGCCTCAAGGAAGAATTGTATGGAATACCAATACTCAAAAATAAAATCACCCTAGTCTGCTTTTTTACTATAATAAACTTGGCCAATGCCAGCTAAGAACTTCTCTAATGATACTCTTTTTCATTGTACTTGTATTTGAGACCCAGTGTCAATCTTTAAAGACATATGCATGTTCATAAAGACCTTTGTCTTTTCTCTAAAAAAGCTTATGCTTTTATAGAAAAGTTATTTTTGTCTCCCTAATGACCTTTATTTTATTTTTAATAAAATGTATTCTTAACTGTCCTTTGAATTTCATTTTTATTTTCCAAATAGAGGGAAGTTCTGTCCAACATTATGCCTAATCATGATTCTCTTGATTCCTATTGTCCAGATCATGAATAAAGGTATTCAGTAGCAACCCGCAAACTCTTACCCCTATGGCATATGCAAGTGTGGTGTATGCAACATGAGCATGATGTTTTTCTACATGCAACTTAATGATCTCCCTGTAAAAGCCATCTCTCCAACAAAATGGAATGTCTCAATGTCCATTTCTCAAACTGTGTTCATTTTTCTACCCTTAGAAAAACTCTATGACCGCCCTAGAAGATGGCTCAGTGGGTAAAGCAATTTATATGAAAGTGTGAGGACCTGAGTTCAGATGTGCAGAACCCACTTAAAGCTAGATATGGTAGTGCACATTTATGATTCCAGCACTCCTACATGAAGATGAGAGGTGGAGAGAGAATAGGTAGAATGGTGGTTCTTAACCTGTGGGTTACAACCCCTTTTAGAGTCAAAGGGCCCTTTCACAGTGGTCCCCTAAGGCGATTGGAAAAGACATTACTATTCATAACATTAGCAAAATTACTGGTATGAAATAGCAATGATTGGGGGTCACCACAACATGAAGAACTGTATTAAAGGGCCAGAGCATTAAGAAGGTTGAGGACCAGTGTTGTAGAAGTTCATGAGCCAGCTAGTCAAAGTTGTGAAGCAGCAAGCTACAAGAAACCCTCTCTCAAGGTGGAAGGCAACTACTGACACCTAAGGCTATCTTCTGACCTCTATGCATGGAACATGGTAAATATATACCAGATGTATGCATGTGAACACCTACCTACACACACCATACAGCAAAACACATACAATCTTTCTAAATTCTATGGCAAAAGAATTAGAAAATTCTATTATACTTACTTTTACATATTCACATCACATTATTAGAAATACCTAAGAAGTTCTGCTGTAAAGTAACCTGTTTGACAGTATTTCCCAAATTTATTTCATTTACCAATCAATAGCTTTCTACAAAACACTGTTGTGGGGCATGGTGATCTAACCAATTTCTCTCAATGTGCCTTAAGAACACCATGGAAACAGACAAAAGCACAGTCAGTTCAGTTGTACTCTATATTTTTACCTTTTCCTAAAAGACCTAGTCTAATATTCTTCAAGTAAGAAAAATTAAATTGATCTGACATTTCTTGTCTGTTTGGATATCCAGCTTGAATTGTTGTACGATATCTCCTACTCCTCTGAGTAATGGGAAGTAATTTGATGACTATTCTATTATTTTCCCTGATATTAAATTTACATTGACCAGTTTCTATAGTCCCAGATGTACACACTGATGCATCATTATCCAGTCAGTTTCCTAAACACTTTAACTGTGTTAGTCCCTCCTAGAATCACACTGATCTTATAAGGTTGAGACTATGTTATTTTTTATTTTCAAGTATGGAAGCATATTATTGTAATTCTTGTAGTAGAGATGGGATGAAAACTTAGACTAAGATTCATCTTTCCTCTAATGACTTATACTTCCTACATTTGATCCTCGGGTTATTCAAGCAGCCATCTGTTTCCCCACTGGGACTTGAGCTCCACTTTGACATCTGTTTAAACAAGAGACTATTCTTTAAGACTCATGGCTCCTCAGAACTCTGATTGTTATTCCCTGCTCTCGAAATTGTCCCTCCTGTATCTATTTATCATTTCCCATCCCTGTTTATTATCACACTGCAGCCTGCACCCTTCAACATCC